CAGCACATTATCTACAGAGAAAAATCTCAAATGACAACAGATTTCTCATCAGAAACTGTAGAAGCTAAAAGGAAATAGCAAAACATGTTTTACATAACGAATGTAAAGAATTGGCAACTCATAATTCTACATCCAGCAAAGATATCCTTCAAAAATAAAGTAGAAATCAAGACATTCTCAGATGAAGGAACACTAAAGAGAAATATTCTCTAGCAAGCCTACCTTAAAAGATGGCCAAAAGCACACTTACTAGTGAAAGACTGACTGCATTCTCCCTAAGATTAAGGACAAGGGGAGGATGTCTGCTCTTGGCAGCATTATATAAAATAGTGAACAGAAAGGAAAGGTCAGAAAAGACATAGAGAATAGAGAGGAAGAAATAAAATTGTCCCTATTTACAGATGACAAATTCCAGCTACATAGAAGATTACAAGTGATCTAAAAAAAAAGAAAAAACAACTTTGAGAATTTATAAAGTAGTTCAGAAAATTTGAAGGTACAAGATCAACACATATAAAAATCAATAGTATTTCTATATGCCTTCAACAATACTAAAAATGGTATACCATTTTTAATTGCTCAGAAAATGAAATAGGTAGTTATACAGGACTGATGTGCCAAAAACTACAAAATGATGATGAGAGAAATCAAATATCTAAACACATAAATAAACATGCTGTGTTCATTAACGGGAAGACTCAATATAAGAGCAATGCAAATTCTTCCCAAACTGATACTTAGATTTTAATACAATTTCTACTAAATTCTAGAATATATACTATAGATATAGACAAGATTATTCCAAAGTGTATATGGAAAAACCTATGAACTATAATAGTTCAAACAATTTTTAAAAACAAAAATAGGAGAAATCACTCTACCTAATTTGAAGACTTTACATATCTACCAGAATTAATATATATGTAACTGAATAGAGAGCCCCCAAATAGAGATAGCACTACAAAGTATGGACAACTGATGTTTGGAAAAAAAATAAAAGTAGTTCAATGGAAGAAAAATAGTCTTTTCAACAGCTGGTGCTGAAACAATTGGGTATTCCTAGACCAAAAAAAAAAAAAAAAAAAAAAAAACTTGACCGAAATCTCACATTGCACATCTTCTATAAAACTCAAAATGAATCACATCAAACTCTTAGAAAATAATACAAAGGTTGGGCACAGTGGCATATGCCTGTAAACCCAGTGGCTCAGGAGGCTGAGACAGCAGGATCACAAGTTGAAAGCCAGCTTCAGCAAAAGCGAGGTGCTAAGCAATTCAGTGAGACCCTGGCCCTAAATAAAATACAAAATAGGGCTGGAGATGTGGCTCAGTGTCCGAGTGCCCTTGAGTTCAATCCTTGGTACCAAAAAAAAAAAAAAAAAAGAAAAAGAAAAAGAAAAAGAAACTAATACAAGGGAAAAAGGGATTGGATCAGAGTTCCAAAAGCACAATCCATAAATGACAAAAGTTTATCAATTGGACTTCATCAAATGGAAACTTTGCTCTGAGAAGAAATTAGAAGAATGAAAAACACCTTACAGACTGAGAGAAAACATTTGCAAACCACATATCTGACAAAGAACTCATTGCCAGAATATATATAAAACTCTTAGATCACAACAAAAAAAAAATCAAATAATACAGTTAGAAATTGAACTAACGACACTAACAAACATTTCACTGAGAATGACATACAGATAGGAAATAAATACATGAAAAAGATGTTCCATGTTATTAGCCATTAAGCAAATGCAAATTAATGCCACCATGAGATATCACTGCACACCTATCAGAACAGTTTAAAAAAATAGTAAGACAGCGGGAAGGGCAGCGGAGCACAACAGACACTAGTATGGCAATATGTAAATCAATGGATGTGTAACTGATGTGATTCTGCAATCTGTGTATGGGGTGAAGGTGGGAGTTCATAACCCACTTGAATCAAAGTGTGGAATATGATATGTCAAGAAATTTGTAATGTTTTGAACAACCAACAATAAAAAATTAAAAAATAAATAAATAAATAAATAAATAAAACAGTAAGAACTCCAAATGCTGACCAGGATGTGGGAAAATTGGATCCCTCATACATTGCTGGTGGAAATACGAAACGATACAGCCATTCTGGAAAACATTTTGACAGCTTCTTACAAAACAAACATACAACTACCATCTGACCCAGCAATTGCCTTCGTGAACATTCCTCAATATCAGTCCTTTTCCAGTGTCCTCTAGCTCAGATGGCCACCTCATCTATTCAATCATGAAATCCTGGAGCCACCTATGGCTCCTCTGTGTTCCTCACCCCTCATCTCTCTTCCATGACAAAGTCCTCCCATCTGTCTTTCTCACTGTAGCAAGAGTTGTCTTTTAAAAATGCAATGATGATCATGTCACCCACTCCATTGCTTAAGGGGCTTCAATAGTTTCCTGTTGTTTTTTGGTCACAGAAGAAATTCTTCAATGCGATTCAAACGCCAGACACGATATGACCACTGTCTGTTCTACAGAGGCTTCTAAATGCTCCCCTCCCACTTGGCTTCTTCCGGTGTCCAGAACATGCTCTTAACATTTCCTGCCACAGATCCCTATACATGGTCTTTATCAGAAAACTCTCCTTATATGTGATTCTCACCATTCGACCCCATACCTGTGATGGCTCCCTCAGGGAAGACTTCTGTGTAAAGATTTGCCTGAAAGTTATACCACCTCTCCCTCTTCTCACATTCGTTTATGTGATCACTTGGTTATTTTCTCTCTCTCTCCTCTACTCTCTGTCAGGTCCATAAGGACACCATGTCTGAGGGTGTTCCCCTCCCCTAACCCATTATATTACTAGTATAGTGAAGTGCCTGGCATATAGGTGGTACTTGATCAATTAATGAATAAATGAATGGAAAGTCACCATGTAGAATATCTATTCATATTTTATGTAAAGGCTATTTGATGCACTATTAAGGAAAAACATTTAAAGTCAGTCACTGATCTCTCTGAATTTATTATATCTGACCTAAGATTTGGCCCATTTATAAAGTACACATAGGCAGCCATACAATAGGGAGGAGGGAAATAATCTGCCTTTATAAACTGTAAGCACAAAATAGAAAATTTTTTCACATTGGGTATGAGTCTAAGTAGTAAACACTGTTGTCAGACATGGACAGTGATGACAAGAGAGTCATCTCCCTTCCACAGAGTAAAGAAAAATACTGTGGAAAAAAACAGAATTTTAGGAAATCTGAAAATATGAAAAAGAGTTTTGTATATCTGGATCAAAATATAAATTTGGAAAAAGAAAAAATTATGAAAGTTTCTTAACCTAGATCATAAATAAATATATATATATGTTCATTATATATATACATGTGTGTGTATATATATATATATATATATATATATATATATATTTATGATCTCATGCAGCATGAAAGAAAGTAGATGAGAAAGAGAGAAGTGAGGATTTTAAAAATTATGTTATACAAGAATATGAGTTAATTTAAAGCACACAATGCTTAGCATATAGTAAGTGTCAACAGCTACTGGACCATCAAGAAATCCACATGCCAAATGGTACCCGCTTGCAGAGCCACTTTGCTGCACACCTCTGGGAGACATCATTGGCCTTGCAGTCAATGTAAAAGGCACCCTCCACTTAACTAGAACACAGCCTGCATGGCCAAAACACTGAAGCCTTGCTGATGTACATGTTCAAAAGTTTCCAAAGTAGGCATCATTCACTTTCCAGAAAAGCAAAGCAGTCTATAAAGGAAAAAGTTAAATGATTTTTCTGTGATCAAACATCCCAAGGTCTATATATGCAATGGATCTAGGTGGTTATAATGGAGGGTAGACACTAGAAGGGGGGCAGCATAAAGGATTGTTTTAGACGCTATATGGAAAGTCTTCCAAATTAGATGCAAAGTTGTCATGCAAATTGATGTGATATGGCATTGCATAAATGCGCTCAGGGTGACTTGTCTAAATCCTTCAGTGTGCATCAGTTTATATTTAAATGACCTTCTGTAAAATTGCTTTCCTTACAATTTCTATACATATTCATGAAGACACACTGTCAGCACTGAAAGATAGCCAAGCAGAAAAGAGAAAAATCCTATTACACTAACAAGACAATTTCCTTGGTTAATGTAATCAGATAGTACAGCTGCACTTCTTGTTAATCTGAATTTAGTTCAAATAACTAAAGAGCTTTATTCACTCTGTGATAAAAATTAGACACTCGCAAAGCAAGTTTCTGACAATTCAAATAAATTTATTTTTGTAATAATCATTTAGTGCAGGAGGCCTTTTTAAAATGCACCGAATTAGCATTAGATCAAGATGAAATAAATCTGATTTATAAAAATGCACCTCATCAATGTCTTGCTAGGTTTCCACACAAGTATCATGAGATGTCTGCTTAGTAGTTATGCATTTTTTTACTTTATTTTTTGCTTTACTAGGAAAACTTACCAACCTAATTTGCCAATATACTTTTTCAAACCAGATCATTTTAAGCCAGATTAATGCTTAAGACTGAATGATAAGAGGGGACAAACGGGAAGAAGACTTTAATGCTAGTTTGCCTAGGATTATTTTTATTATGAAAAAAGGTGACTGATGATATAAAACAGCGTTTCCCCAAGTGTTCTGATCATGAGACTTACCAAGGATGCATGTTTAAAAATAGTCCTGGAGGTTCTGATTCCTGAGACTTACAGGGGGACTCAAGACTGTATATTATGAAAAGAACCTAGAAACATTTTAGGATGAGGCCATTTGGGAAATCTGTAGTATCATGAAAAGAATAGTGGTCTACTCTTATTAATGTTCAAAACCCCAGGTTGCCAGCTCCTCTGTGTCCTCACCCACCTCATTATATCTGAGTAGGTCTAAATGTCCTCAGTTGTAAAAAGTTTAAAAAAAAAGGCAACAAAAATAAGAAGAGTTTGATTGAATCCACAAACTTCATGAAGACTGGTGGATTCCACTCACTGTTCTATCCTCTGTACCTAGTCTGCTGCCTGACGCAAAGCAACCTCCCTTGATGTTTGTTGACCACGTGACTATTTAGTTGATCTGCAAGGTTTCTGTTAGCTTTAAAATGATGTAATTCTAAAATAAACAATAAAGCAATTCATTTGTTCCACTATTTACAAATTATTAATTACTCTCAGAATAAAAGAATGCATCAACTGAAAAAAGACCCCTACCCTTTCGTCAGGTGGCGAGGTTGCACATGCCTGGTGACCAAGTCAAGGATGTGACTTGGGTAATTTCACCTCTTATCTTCCTCTTAAGGTTGTATGCTTAAAAGTAGTGATGGAGGCAGTTAACACACTGTTTGGCTCACAGTAGATGTTCCATAAAAGTAAGCTGAATCTGGGCAACCCAGCAAATTCCATATAGAACAATGCCAAAGAATAAGTGTTCTTGCTGTGTGGACAGAAGTTCTGATTTTTAGGATTTTTGTTACTTTTATCCTAAAACATACTGTGAAGTAACAAGTTCAGAATTGTTAGAAGTCTTCGCTAGCACATGTGTATAGTGCAGAAACAAGTGTTTTTGAAACTAATTGTGAAGGGAAATTAAATTCTGAAAACTCTATTTATAACATTTCAAATTCACTACAAAAGCAAAAGCTTTTATTTCTTTTTAAGAATTTATTAAATTACACATATAAATACTTCCTTTCATCATGTATCTAATATAACTTAGAGAAGTGATTCTCAAAGGGCGGTCCCAATCTCAGTTGTACCAACATCATGTGGGACCTATTACAAATGCAAATTCTTGAACCCTGTCCCAGACTGAATGAAACAGAAACTCTGGGTGGGGAGGCTACAAAATCTATGGAGGAACAAGTTCTCTGGGTGATTCTGATGCACAGAAAATATGAGAACCACTGACTTAAAATTAACAAGATAGTCAAAAAATGGATTCAAAGAAAGTTGAATTCAGCTTCCTATACTATGATGTATCAGAACTGAAAGGGCCACATCACGTTCCTAGTGAACTACTTGGAAACGTACAAAAAACTTTTTTTTTTCATATATGAACTCAACTTTCCTCTCTCTGAAAAGAAAAAATCTTGAAATACTGATTCCGGAATTAAAAATGTAAACTACCACTTTTAGAATATTCAAGTCCTAATTTTTCAATTTTTACAAATAAAATGCAAATGTGTAATAATATTACCAAGCATTACCAAATTTAGTTTTAATTGTTGAATTTTTAAAAAATGAGTACGCAGTTAAAAGACACAGAGGCTGTTTTTCTTCTAGTCCAAATGCCAATTCTGATTTAGAATTAGTGATGCCTAAGATTACAAGGATAACTAGACATGACGAATTTATGATTCTATGTTCTGTGTAAGACAAACCTCTCAGCAACAGAGTTCTGAAAATCTTTAAAACTGTATGCTCTCAGATATGAAGAAGGAGGGAGAGATTTTTAATTTGAAGGCAACGTAGAAATAGGGGTGTTGGGGAGAGATTGTGATCCATCCACTGTCACATTCTTCCATTCCGAGCTAAAAAATGAGAGAAGACCAAAGCTTATAGAATCATTGCCCAGCGAACACTCTTCCGCAGCTGGAGAGAACTCTAGTCTTACGGATGTTTTTCCAACATTTTGCCCAAACCCCAACATTTATCCAAAAGAAAAAGGTTGACTTAAAAGAAGAAACAAATCAGTCCACAAGAACTCAACAGCTCCTAGTCAGGAACATTAAATGGCAGTGAGCTGATGACCTCTCCAGATTCGGTGACAATGGCATCATAAACCCACCGTCGGTTGCAGCGGCACTCAGGCCCACACTTGTTGGAGTTACATTTGGGGCAGGGGTAGAAGCAGCCCAGGCAGTTCTTCTCTAGGCAGTCACACAGGTCAGCATCATTACAAATTAGCCTGCCACTTTTGTCATACTTCTTCATAACTCTGTAAGAAAAGAATGACATTCATATGACAGTACAATTGTCCTCAACATGGAGAATAAATTAATGTGCTGTGACTTCATATACACAATCCTTTCAGTCTGAGTGAACAGCACCTTGGAAATGACCCAGAAACACTCCAGAACAGTAGGTGGCAGTGACGTCATGGGAATTTCAGTCAATATGTGATTGAACCATTTCCAGTGCAGCCAGCTTGTCATGGAAAGTAACTCTTCATTTTCCCAGCATTGCCAGGGAACATAATAATCCTCAAAGAATTATGAGGAATAAGCTGACTAACACTTCTTCCTATGTTACAATTTTTTCTTTAAAATTTAACTATTCTTGATGGAATTTCCCCTAAGAGATTATACTCTTCTTTCTGATATTTTTGCAATTACATTTTTTAATGACTCAAAATGAGGACTATCAGTGAGTACGTCAAAATCATTTAAATAAGAAAACTCTGCCACTGACATTCTACAGGTGCCACTTCTTTCCTTTCTGATGTCTTTTACCCAGTGGGAAGGGAGAATGCAGGTGACAGAGATGATAGGACACCACATCATAGGTTCTGAGTGAAGGCAAGGTACTCTGTACCATGAAGACCACCAGAGTCCCCACCCTGCTGTAGATTCCCATGTTTTCTGTCAGTAACTGCAACATGGCCAAGGGGCAGAGACTTTCATGAGAATTTCACCATCCCCTCCAAACCAAATCATTTTGAAATATGTAATTCCAACCAAGCTATTGGAAAGCCTTAGATAACAAAAACACCTCTATACGACTCAGATTCATTATTAGCAGTTGAAGTCCAAAAGGCTGGCCCTTTGTTGGTGTGGTCAAATTATGTACCTGTGTACCCTTTGTCTCCAAGCTGGCAAAACACCTGGCCTCTTCCTCTTCAGTGAGGTAATATAGCTCCACCCTGTCCCCCTTTCCTAATAAAGCATGGGTACTTGCTGCATGGTGTAACACTTCCGCAGGGTTGTCTGAAGAGGATTTTCATCTAAGGTATGAGACCCTTCCCAAGCCCCACAGGAAATTCATACAAAGAGATGTAAATTTTACTAAAGAACTGATAATGAGTGGGTGTTCCTAAAACCAACGGAGAGTGTCTGTCCTTTCCTTGCTTTGCCTGAACTTAACACTCCCTAGCCTTTAATCAGAAATCAAAATGAGTTTATGGTTTCCTGCCCATATGATACAATCACTCATAAAATTCTCAACTACCCTACATATAAAAGTGTCTAAAATACACATGCTCTATGGATAGATAATTATACCTTTGAAGTCCTCCTCATGTACTACTCATTACATTTCTCTATGACCACTCCAACAGGAACTGCACCTTGATATAAAGATGATGTGCTTTTTTTACTTTTAGTTAAGCAATGTATGGATGTATCCCCAAGCATACTGAGATATTTCTTCTATAATTTGCTTTTTTATCCTACTCCATGATGTGAGATTCTTCCATGATGGTACAGATTAGCTTTATTCAGATATTTTTACTGCTACATGTAGCCTGCTCTATGAATATAGCACAGGTCATTTATATTTTCCACTACTGAATGTCATTTGAATTATTTACTCTTTGTTTTTGCTGTTACATTGCTGCCATGAAACTTCTTGAACATGTCTCCCCTTATACATAATAAGACTTTGCCAGGATATATACCAAGGAATGAAAATGAGAATCATAAGACGCATAGGAAATGCCAAGATGTTTTTAAATAGTGGTTGTACCATTTAACATTCAATTCATGACCCAAAGCTTCATCAACTTTGATATCATCATACTAAACTCTGCCTATCTGGAATACATGGCCCTTCTCCAGAAGGTACTGATGAGGTTTAGTATCCACATTAGCTTTATCTTCTGTGAAATGTTGGTTCACTATTTTCTTTATTTTTCTATTATGATGTTTATCTTTATCTTATTTACTTCTAAGAGTCTTTAAATATCTTAGATTCTGATCTCTTATAACTTTTTCCACTTTGTGATTTTTCTTTTGTTGTTTTAAGGGCATCTTTTAATGAGTATATGTTATTAATTTTTAAAAATATATATGTTTTTTTTTAGTTGTCAATGGACCTTTATTTAATTTATTTATTTGTATATGGTGCTGAGAATCAAACCAGTCACACATGCCTGGCAAGCGCTCTACCACAACTCCAGCCCCATGTTATTAATTTTAATGCAGTTGAACTTATCAATTTTTCTTTTTGGTTTGCTTAATGTGTGTGTGTGTGTGTGTGTGTGTGTGTGTGTGTGTGTAGTGAGGATTGAACCAAGGGCCTCCTTAATACTAGGTAAGCTCTCTACTGCTGAGCTACACACCCAACTAGTTTCTACTTCTGATGCACTAGCAATCTTAATGATAGTACTGCACCCATTTAATATTCCAAATTCACTCCCTTGGTGATATTATTTCTCCTTCTAAGGATGCATCTTTGTTACTTTTAATCACATTTCCTACTAAGCTATTACTATAATACAGGGCTTTTTATTTTTAATTGATTTCTTGTTTCAGATTATATTTGCTAACTTCCAGGAATATGGAGTACTATTTTAATTCAGATATTTTTAAATCATAGAAGAGGCAATCTAATTAAAATCAAGGAGAAATGGAGAGTTTTATTTCTATTAGTATAATAATAATAATAATAATAATTATTATTATTATTATTATTATTATTATCATCGTCGTCGTCGTCAGGTACTGTAGATTTAACCCAGGACACTTTACCACTGAGCCACATCCCCAGCCCTTTTTGTTTTTTTATTTTTGGACAGGTTCTCACTAAGCTGCTTAGGGCCTCGCTAAGTTGCTGAGGCTAGCCTCGAACTTGTAATTCTCCTGCCTCAGGCTCCAGAGTTGCTGGGATTACAGGAATGCACCACCATACCAGGAGAGACCCTGAAAATTTTATAATCCCACTAATAAAATAGAATGAGTCATGGGCTTACTTGTGTTTCACAGAAAAATATTCATTCATCTTTGACATCCGGGCTTTCTTCTTCTGCTGCCTTGTTTCTGGGTTGAAGTCTGCTACCTGTGGTCCAGGGTTTTGAAATGCCAAGCATTTTAGCTGCCTTTCTATTTGTTGCTGAGAAACAAACAAAATGCTTTAGTAGTAGGAATTATATCATTCGTTTTGCCTTTCCAAAAGAACTTTCTGTGACTTTAATCATAATGGCATGAAAGTATATTTGTTTTATGTAGAAAACCCAAAGAGTTTGACCTGATTACATTTCAAAGATGACATAAATAGTCTCAAATTAGGCTATTACTTCCAAATAAATACATAATACAAAACTTACACAATAAAAATGTAAAAAAATAATCATGGGGAAACACAAAACCTCTTTTTACATGAAAACCACAGTCAGCTTCATCTAAGGTATGAGACTCTTCCCAAGCCCCACAGGAAATTCATACAAAGAGATGTAAATTTTATTATAGAACTGATAGTGAGCGGGTGGTCCTTTCCAAATAGGATGAAGATGAATATCAGAAATAGCATTTTATGATGGATAAGGATGAAGGAATAATGGTCCAGTGGTCCTTCCTCAGCTATGAGCAGACGATGCCTATGTAAAGTCTCAAACCAATGAGGACCCACAGTATGCTCAGCCCTACCCTCCAGGTCTGGGATGAGTTTTAGGACTGCCTATTCTGGGACTGTGGACATCACTAGGCCTTCACGTGAGAGCGTAGCCACCTGGAGGACCCACTCTTAGTCAAAGCCAGATTTGAATAGAAATGTCTTGCTAGAATTATTTTCTAGGGTGTTAGGGGAAATTTTCGGAAGTCTTTGGGGGGTTTTTGTAATTAGAAATTAAATGAGGCCTAATTGGGAAGAAAGCAATCAAATACTTCAATCAAATACTGATGACTTAAAAAAAAAAAACATGCAGCACACATATCACGAGGGAAGGGAATGCTCTCTTGAAGGATTTTAGGAGAAAGTAATCTGGGTATCCCAAACATGTAGGCTGGCATATACTTGGAAACACTAAACGTGGAGACAAAAGGACAGTTTCCATGTAACATGAGTAACAGGATATCATAGGCTCTCCTACAATTTATTTAATATAATAGTTTAGGCAATCTAAAATAATATGTTTCTTTGAAATTTTCATCTTAGTTGTGTATATGTGGGTTTGTTTTACAGATCTGAGCTTATGTAACAGCTCTGCACTTAGGTACAGCTACGAAATAGGTAACACCTAGTACTTTCTAGGTACTAGGTGCTTAGCTCTTGCAAGCTCTGCTGCTTGCCCGTGGTGTGCCTTGAGCAAGTTCCTACTTCACTAAGCCTCAGTTTCCCATTTTGTAAAATGGGGCCAACAGTACTATCTTGTGATAAGAATTAGATGAGTCAATATATACAAAGTTTAGAACCATGACACAATGAGACCAAAATAGAGGTTTGTTCAATTAAAACACTTGAGTATATATTTTTTTCAAGTATTCTACTCTGAGGGTGAGATTTTATTGCATACAAAGAACATTGGAATAAAAATGAAGGAACGTGAGAGGCAAAGAGGACCTGTCAGGTGAAACCAGTCCAACAGCTGGCACAGAGACCCATCTGGTGGAGTTCTGACTGAACCCACCTTTGCACTAAGTCCACCAGCATCTCAGAGATCCCCAAGTTTGGAACTCACCAAACAATATGGAATCATAAAATCCATGTATCATACCAATTGCTTCTGTCCAATTTGACAGTTTTTCTCTGGAGAACTTCGATCTGTGGGTCTCTCTCGAGTGGAATTATTTTTATCTGATTTCTCAGTCATTTCCGATCACTAAAAAAAGTAACTGAAAAGAAGCAAAAACATTAATGTCATATATCCCCAGTAACTTTTTGAAAATCTCATCTCCTCCCAGGGTTTCAGCTGTCACCTCTTCAGTCATCATTCCCAGGCTACCTTTAAAAGCCTTGACCCCCTCCAACAAGTTTTCTGACAAATTTCCTGTGTAATTTGGGCTAAATGGGAGGTGAGGGGTTTTCATAATACCCAGTTGCTAAAATGCCTGTGGTTTGCTTCAAAACGCTTCAGTATACATACCATATTCAATATATATGCAGGGTGTGTGTGTGTGTGTGTGTGTGTGTGTGTGTGTGTGACTTCTGTGTGACTGAGGTATAGCCCACACATTGCTGATGCTGAATGCATAGTGCAGTGTTCGTCTGCTGTGCTCTATCAGGAAACACCATGCTCCAGAGGTCTCCACAAGCCCTGCCATTCTCCCTACTTACCATCAGCTACCATGCCGACTACCAGGTGCTATTTCTCCCAAAGGAACCTAAGAGTTATGCTCTACTATGTTGACATGGGTCATTTGGCATCACATCTCTCCCAGACAGCTGGAAATTCCATTTCTATCACTGGACCTCATTCTCTTTGAGTCAAGGGTCAACACCTTTGTCTGTATCCTCTGTATCCCACTTTCTAATTCCCAACATTAGGTTAGGAAGGAATGTTGATATTTCTTTTCTGATAGTCCTAACACTAGTTCTTCCTTTCCAGTCTCTATTGAGTAGTCTACCCTGATGATAATAGTAGCAGCAGCAGCAGTGGTAGTAGTGGCATTACATTACCCTTGACTAAGGTGACCTCAGCTTCACTAAATTTTAGACAGCTTTCTTCCTGATAATAGAACCCTGACCTCTCTTTCCTTTAGAAGCATTTACTTAAGAAAATGTGCAATTATGAACTCTTTCTTTTTCCCTTTGGATTGTAAATCTTCTCCCATTTTCTGTCATTTTATAACCCATGTCTGTCTTTCTCAAGTACCTGGAAACTATCCCTTTGAAATTGAATCAAGGAAGATAGTGCCCCTTTCTCCCCTGTCTCCATCAGAGGATGGGAGTCTAATTTTGACTAGGTACTAATTAGCAAATACAAGTAACCTAGTCACAAAGACATTTACAAAATAATACAATGTACTTGATGCATCCCATTGTCCAATAAACCCCTTTCTGTCTTCCATTTCTTTTCCAGTAGTTGATCTCAGCCCTTGAGAACCCACCACCCTTTGTTTCAGTGGAGTTAAGTTCATACTGAGTTCTGGTCTCAGTCCTTTATTATGACAGCTTCGAATAGTCTTCCTTGCCTATTTAAAAATTATACTTTGTCCAGAGTAATTTTTACTTTGACACTACCACATGCAAGTTTTCAGATCTGATCAAACATTCCTGTTAAGTATTTTTCAAACTGTTAGAAGATAAAATCATATGAAGATGTTTTAAAAATCATAATTTCCTTGATGAATCCCAGACTTACTTGGGCTATCATTTTCAGGGGTAATCTGTATCATTATAGGCTCTCCAGGCAAATTCCATCTTTAGGTAGTTATGGGAAACATTAGGATAGGGAAAGTAAGTATAATTTTATCTACCCAGTCTTGCCATTTGATCCTAAAACTATTGTCCACACTTTCTTCCTGCCCCTAATTCATCAAATACATTCTGGTCATGTTAACATTCCTGAAACAGAAATTTATTTGTCTTCCTATTAAAAGACTGCAATAATTCCTCTTTGCCAATAATATCCCACCATCATTGGTGTATATTAGCCAATGTCTATCAAAGTGTTCTATACCCTACCTGCCTGAGCTCATCACTGCACATACTTACACTTGGGCTAACAGCTACCTGACTTCACTGCACCCATTAGCATCTCTCCACCTCTTACTTATCTGAATCTTTCAACTTCAAACTTTGGCTCTCTGCCTCCTAAGAGGCCATTGCTTATCCATGAATCTCTCTTTTAGACTCTGTGTGGAACTTTTCAAGAACATATCCAAAAAGGGGTCCCAAACCCTCTAGTTTCTTCACATAACATTTTTTCTCCTCATTGGAAAGATTATGAGCATCTTTGTAAGCAAGAACTTTTCCTGAAATGGTCTGGGATTTAACTGCACTTCATGAAATGAGTATCTTATGCAAACCCTCTGCCCAAGGCACTTTAAGTCCTTTGTAAAATGTAGGTTTCCAAAAAGATATGAGGAGAAAATTTGCTACTTTGCATTTCAAATAATGCAAAAAAAATTATAATATAATTTCAACGGGTACTGAAATGTAATTGGATTTTATTGTGAGCCCAAAATATTGGTCTTAGGAAAAGTAATTAAAAGGTTCAGAATTCTCTCTTTTCCCTTGTTTGGTATTCCTAAAGCAAAGATTTTTAACTGGACAATACAGGTGGACCTTGAACTTGGATAAGTAAAAAAAAGACATATTTGTTTCCATTAATCTGTAAGTGAAATTCTGGCATTTCCTTCTATGATAATGTAACCAACATGCCTCAGTAGTGTTAGCAGTATCTGTGACCTTGTTGAGTAAGAAACCATAGATTTTATTAGTCAATTAGAGTTGCTGTGTATATACAAATTTTCATTAATGTTTATTACTTATTTAAAATTGTTATAGTTCTTAGACTTGATATTAGATCTTATTGTTTGGCTATTAATTAAGTGCATGTTATTATCATAACATTTTTTTATAAGAGAGAGAGAGAATTTTAATATTTATTTTTTAGTTTTCGGCAGACACAACATCTTTGTTTGTATGTGGTGCTGAGGATTGAACCCGAGCTGCACGCATGCCAGGCGAGCGCGCTACCGATTGAGCCACATCCCCAGCCCTATTATCATAACATTTTGATAAGTGTATTTTAAGCTAATTAGTTTCCTTTGTAATCTTACAGACTTTATATTATATCCTTAAAAATATCATTCTGGGAAATAATCCATAGATGTCACTGTTAACCTAAGGAGTCCACAATACAAAAAGAAGATTAAGAGTCCCTGCCAAGGGGCAGTGTAATCAGCTGCCATCATCTCCACTGCTCTTGGTGATGAAAATGACATTTCCCAGCTCAGGGTCATTCAGGCTGTGGAAGATGCTCATCTCCAAGCACATGACTGAAGGCCATGTAGCATATCCTGAGTTACTGCATTTGACAGGGATGCAAAGAATGTGAAATCAGTTTGACAAACTCTTAATTTTTCCCTAACATTTTGTCAGATTGCTTTTAAATGATAAAAAATAAGGTCCAACACAAAGAAAGGAGGCTCCCCCAAGTGGCCCATTCCTAATTCCTAGCACACAGACTCCTAGAGGAGCTAGTCTAAGAGTGGTCCTAAAATAAGGCAATTAGGTATCCGTGTGGGGAAAGAGAACACGTAGCCAGAATGGAAATCATCTGCTTCACTAAATACATTGAGTAGGTTAGCTTTCATTTTTCTTCACAAAAAGACAATCTTCCTGGCCAAGACTGATGGTACATCACTATAATCCTAGCATATTGGGAGGCTGAGACAGAAGGATCAGAAGTTCAAAGCCAGCCTCAACAACTTAGGCCCTAAGCAGCTTAGTGAGACCCTGTCTCTAAATAAATACGAACTAGGACTGGGGACATAACTCAGTGGTTAAGCACTGCTGGGTTCAATCCCTGGAATTAACAAAAGAATAAAGAGGAGGAGGAAGAGGAGGAGGAGGAGGAGGAGGAGGAGGAGGAGGAGGAGGAGGAGGAGGAGGAGAGGAGAAAAGAAAGCAAGCAAGCTAAAGGAAAGAGTTCCTTAGTCTACATTTGGACACAAGCCCCTTTCTCCACCATGAGCAGGAACCTGAGTAGCTCTGGAGACATGTTGGTTGTTACATTCAGCTTGATCTACAGTCAGTTCCCTTTTTATATGCAAGTTCCTGCTTCCAGTAGGTCTTTAGCTTTCTTACACCTTTCTCTATCCCCAGCAAGCCCAAAGCTAGTACACAGCCAGTGTTCAATGTCATGTGATATTATGCTTATGGTACATGCTACATGCCAAGCACTTTATTGAATTTCCTACATATATTCCTTCACTGAATTTTCACAACAATCTGTGAAATAAACAGTAGATATTATTTTTCCTATTTAACACATGAGAAATTGAGACCCCAAAAGATTATTTAGGTCACATAGTCACTAGTAGGGTACATGAGTTTGTCATATAGACTTGTCTGACCCCAAATACTATGGTGTTTTCAGAATATTACACTGATTCAAGGTTTGATGATGATCACCATCTCTACATATGATGTTGCTGAGGGAGCAATTGTAATTGATGTCAGCCACACAGAACCTTTTCAAAAAGAAGCATGGGAAGGGACTGGGGAGGAGGCACTTCGGACACCTCTAGTTACTCCCTTCCCCTCTTCTGCAGCAGCACACAGCTAGGAGAAAATGCTGGGCAAAGGTTTGCATCTCAGCCACATGAACCACATCTGACTTCAGGGTTGGGTTCTGAAGTCCAAATAAAAGAAAGTCACTTTTACAGTCACCTTGGGCAGCTTTAACAGAAAACTATAAATTGGGTAGCTTAAACACAGACAGCTCTGGAAGTTGGGAAGTTCCAGAGCAAGGTGCTGACTTATTTGATTTTGGTAAGAGCTCTCTTCCACCTTCGTTCTAAGTCCATTCATGGCCTTTAATTGGTGTATGGAGAGACAGTGATGGATAGGATCTTTGCCTTGTGCTTCCTATAAAGTCATTCATTAATCCTACCAGATTAGGTAGGACTACCTACCTACCTACCCTATAACTTCTTTTTTTAATATTTTTTTCTAATTGTTGATGAACACTTATTTTATGTATTTAAATGTGGTGCTGAGAATTGAACCCAGCACCTCACACATGCTCAGCAAGTACTCTACTATTGAGCTACATCCTCAGTCCATACCCTATGATTTCTTTATTTCCTAAAGGCCTTATCTCCAAATCTAGTCACATTGGAGTAAGGTTGCCATCCTGTAGATTGAGGGCAAGGCACAATTAGGTCCATGGCAGTCATAAATACACTTAAATGACTATTTAAAATTCCTTCTAAAAAGTGCCATGCTTTTGAAATAGCTCTCCAAAGCCAGACATTTCTTCAGGGATGGAATAGATCATTGTTTCTTAGGTTGAGCATGAGATAAAGTAGTTGGCTTATGCACTAGGAGCCATGATGACTAAATTATCTATGATGGAAAGATGATATTTACCTTTAAGCCTCAGAATTACACAGCCTGGCAACTTGTACTCTTTGTGTAAGATTCAGGAACAAGACCAGAGGAAAGCAGGCCAGATCATTTCTATCCCAACCCTCACTGTGAGACACAGACCATCAAGGGAACACCAGGCAACCTAACTCACACTTTAATCACTTATACTCATCTTTAGGGCACCCTGGCATGTATTGTTGATTTTATGTAAACTGATTGTGTCTTGAGTAGGATGAAATGAGTAGCCCTCCATCATGACCCCTAAGAACACTACCAAATTACCAAAACAAGAAAGGTATCCAGCTTAATCTCTGGCCCAAAAATTGGCCTCTATTTTTATTCAGGAGCAGATAAAGCCATTTATTCAGAGACACTATGTGTAAAACATCTCTGGAAAACTATTTAGAAACAAGATACATAGACATTCATAGCAGACAAAAGTATCAAGCTATATTAATCTCATTCTGTCTCTACCCTTAGTTCCTGTAGTTGCTGAAAATGATGGGTCACTGAGATAATTGACAGCCGAGTCAAATCCCACTGGGGTGTATTTGGTAGAGACACAACACTGTGCAGGTAGCCAATTAAGTCCTTGCTTCTCCCTCCCAGCTGCATCAGCTGTTTTCTAAGCCACAAGATTGCTCAATAACCTATAAAAGAAAAAACTCTCCATTGCCATTTGTCCACAAAAATTAAAAGTAATTTTGATCTAATCTTTCTAGAGTGTTGTTGGATGAATAAGTTTATTAATGCTTTAGAAACAACTGTTTACAATAGCCATAGATTCCTAGAAACACTGTTAGAGCTGTATTTTCCTGTACCCTACATACTACTCTCTCTCTCTCTCTCTCTCTCTCTCTCTCTCTCTCTTTCTCTCTCTCTCTTTTACAAACACATCTGTGGCTCAATGTAAAATAATGTAAAAACACAGATGGTTTATTTTAAATAATTTGAAAGTACTCTTAGCAAGAGAAATTGATAACCCAAAGAACGCAATAGTACCACATAGTTTCTATTGCTAATGATTTGATTGCAGCAAGCTGGTATCACTTCAAATCTGGTATCTTTTCAAGGGTCCTTCTGGATCAGTTATAGGTCAGTTTCTATAGTTCAGGGCCAAACTACGCCTTATTCATAATATGAATGGCTTGAATCATGCTTCAAATTCTTCTTTACAATTTTAAGGATTATGAACAAAAAAGACCTATCTGTTTACCCTGCCCCACCCAATGCAGATGGAGGAGAAGAATACTCTCTCAGGACACCAGAGGATTAGGCCATTTTTTGGCATTATCCTGATAGATGTCCTTGAAAAGTATTATCTCAAATACTCAAGTGTGGAAGGTTCTTTCTCCTAGATCCCTACCGTGCTCCCATGCTCATTTCTTAGTTTTCATCTTTATATCATTCCAAGAAAGGAACCCTAGTCATCTTCTGTTCTTAACCACAACACATTAATCTAACAACATATATGCAAGGTCAGCATTGGGTGGCTTGTTTTACCTCTTCTTTCTCCATCAACCTCAGAGGGCACCAGGTTTAAAATGCATCATTTGTGAAGAAGTGACTTTCAATTGACAGCCACATTTCTACTGCTCCCTGCTCCTTAGTAAGAGTCACCTGGTAAAACAAAAGCAGTGGGGTGGTAAAGAGAAAGTGCACATACCTTTAAGTTGGATGAAAAGAAGGAAGGAATACTGCAAAGAAAGAGAAACTGTGCTGCTTTATTTTCTTTGTTTTGCTGGGAAACCATAGAACCCTCAAGGGAAAAACCATAGGGCCTCCAAGGTGCTTCTACAATTTAATACTTCATAATCATGGTCGGGGAGGGGCGAGTGTGAGCATTAACTCGTTCTTCCACCAGGAGTCAATTCTAGAACGCTTTGGAATCAGTTAATGATAGCTGTTTTCTCTCCCATCTTCCATTCAAAATAAGCAACTAATCTAGACCTAAGTTTTGGCCATATGGCTCAATCTCACCTCTGAACTTCAAATGTTTAATATTAACACCAAATTGCCCCTGGATTAGTTTTATATTTCAGTATAAGTAGCACACTGTATACATAATCAGCTAAAAATCATGTCAGGAAAAAAAAAAACTGTGGTCCCAAGAGAAAACTAAACCATGTTTATAAGCTGTGTCTAAGAAATGTATTAATCTCTAAATTACAACCCTCAAAACATTGTCCTCTGCAACCAGGATTCAGATATTGTGTTGTGAGTCATTAAAACCACTTTGCTGTCAGGTTAATACCAGCCCTGTTAATTTGTGAATTATAGGGTAAAAACCATCATTCCATTCCTAATTACTTTTGCTGCAAGGAACAAGGAAAAGAAATAAAATTATCAGTGAAAGGAGCTTGCAATCTGTCTGGCAATGATGCAAAATGTTAAGGTGTTTCCAAAGAGGCAATATCTTTTACTTGAACTTGACATTTATTAAGGCACTTCTGTATTTTGGGGTACATTTTAAATAATCAAAAGTGTGTTCCTTCTTGCAAATAAAGCATTAATAAAACTCCAAGCAGGTAAAAATCCTACCAGACTTTTCCATAATCACACTCTACAAAAACATATTCATTGGCCAAGTTTTGGCTTTGTTCTTACATCGTCAGCAGAAGTTACTATTCACCCATCTGACTCCACAAGATGCTATAATAACACTGAGAAAGATGGAACATCAGGGGCCAAGTGCAAAAGCTTTTAAAACTAGGTGGAGGGAAATCTGCTAGAGGGTAAAAATGGCAACCAACCAAGAAAAGTACCATTAAAAACCTTCTTAAAAATGAAGGTGCCAGGCTGGGGTTGCAGCTCAGTGGTGGAGTGCTCGCCTTGCATGTGGAGGGCACTGGCTTCGATCCTCAGCACCACATAAAAATAAAATAAAGGTATTGTGTGTCCATATACAACTAAAAAAAATATTTTTAAAAAATGAAGGTGCCACAATAGCTAAACTAGGGAACCAACCTAGGATGTCCTCCAACAGATAAATGGATAAAGAAAATGTGGTACATATACACAATGAAATATTCGTCAGCCATGAAGAAGAATGAAACTATGGCATTTGCAGGTAAATGGATGGAACTAGAGAATATCATGCTAAGTGAAATAAGCCAATCCCCCAAACCAAAAACCAAATATTTTCTATGATCCATAGTCGGGGGTAGGTAAGGATGAATAAAGGAACTTTGGATTGTGCAGAGGGGAGTGAAGGGAGGGGCGGGGCTGCGGAGAGGGGAAGGACAGTAGAATGAGACATTATTACATGTATTATTACATGAATAATGTAGTACATACATTACTCATGTATGATTACACTACTTGTGTGACTCTGCATCTTGTACAGCCAGAGAAATGAGAAGCTGTGCTCCATTTGTGTACAATGTGTCAAAATGCATTCAACTGTTAGGTATTACTAACTAGAACAAAATTAAAAATTAAAAACAAAATGAACATGTTGAGGTTCATAAGGACTACCTCTAAATCTGACATGTACCTTTCTCCTTAGAAGACCAATTTCATTTGTTCAATTGCATTGACTCAAATGAATTTAGAACTATATTTTAAATTATCATAATGAAGATGCTAAGCAATAATGGTACACCACAGTATTCAAAGTTGTAACTTTCTATTATTTTTCAACTTAAATGTCATACAAAATGATTATCCCATGTCATTTACAAACTTCTTAAGCATAACCTTATAGTTTTGAACTATTGATTTAACTGGTGAATCTTCTGAAGAACTTTATAGTGCTATTAAAGATTATAATTTCATTTTAAAAGATAAAATGGTATTCTTCAGAAATAATAATGCCTCATTAAATTTTCTAGTCTAGAATATATTGCACCTTTGAAATGACTTATAGAGAGACTATATATTTTTTCTCTGTAGACATTATCAGGTTTGTTAGAGAATAAGTTGAATTAATATAAAATTGGTTGCTTTTTCAAATAAAGGATTCACATGCTAAAAGCTCCTCAGTTTATCTATTAATTCTGAAAGTAAAAATCTTTTGCTTATGAATTGTATTATTTTATCAGTTCATAGCTATCTGCATATTAATTTGTAATATACACTGTACTTTAAGTAACCCAACTTATAAACTTATTCATTGTAGTATTGTTTGCAATTGCAAAATACTAGAATGCCCATACATAGGAGAGTGGTTAAATACCTATGGTAAATCCACACATGTACAACAAATAAGGAGTACTATGCAGCTGTGAAAAAAAGGATATACCTATGAAGTGATAGTGATTTCAAAAATATATTTTAAATAAAAATGCAGAGTATAAAGGTATATTTACTGTACTTAGGTTCCTCAACTTATGATAGGCTTATGTCCCAATAAACCAATTGTAAGTTAAGAAATGCACATATGGCTGAGGGTGTTGCTCAGAGGTAGAGCACTTGCCTAGCATGCAAAAGGTCCAGGATTTGATCTTTAGAATTAGAAAAATACAGGAACTAGACCTAACCTGCTGAACATTGTATCTTAATAATAGGGTACATTGTATAGTTTTTTTCTCCTTGGGATCACACAATTGGCTAAAAGTCTTGGCCAGGAATGCTGCTATTCAGCATCGCAAGAGAATATGTCACATATCATTAGCCTAGAAAAAAACAAAATCCAAGACCTAAAGTAAGCTTTCTATGCAGCTGTGAAAAAAGGAGATTCCTGAGAAGTGATAGTGATTCCAAAAATATATTTTAAATAAAAATGGCATTATCACTTTCCCACCATCATAAAGTTGAAAAATCATAAGTTGAATCATTGTAAGACAGAATTGTCTGTATATTACCCTTATGTAAGAAAGAAGAGGATATAAGAAAATTGCTACTGTGGCCAAATAATTTTAATAAATTTGATATGATGTGGGGTGAAATAATTAAAAAGTAACTGGCTTTGAGAGCCATGAGCATCTATAGAGGGCTGCAGTAGAAACATTCTAGTTTTATCTCCTAAATTTTAAAAGTCTTCTTCAGAAGCTATTGAATAGCTCTCACTGGGCTTATCCAATTCTCTAACAAGACCCCATATTGTCTGGATCCTATGACTGCAGGCTCACTGTGGGTTTTGTTGGTTAAGCACTATTCTGCTATGAACCTGTACTGAGTTGCTCTTTTCCTAGTGGGGACCCGGGTGTAGGTCCAGAAGCGCATGGCGCTGATCGCCTCAGCTATCACAGTAGCTCTGGAGGTATCAGTTGGTGTGACTGAATCATTCACTCACTTGGCAAGCATTTAAAGACCAATAAGACATGGTTTCTCTCTTCAAAGAACTCTCAGGTCTACTCCTAGGAGATATGTAATCAAAACAGTACAGGATGTGCAATGCAAATGTTCAAGGCACGGCTGGACCAGTGGAGAGCTTAGGACTGGTGGTGGACTCTCCCTGGGAAGACTTGCCAAGTAAGGCTCCCCAGAGGAGGTCTACCCGAGAGCATCTTCCAAGTGCATAGGAAAAACCCAGATAGGGAGGGAGCAGAGAAGGCATTCTGGATACGGGAGCTGCTCTAAGTAATGACTGAAGGTAGGGAGAAGCCTACAGAGTTCAGAAAGGTTTATTGGGGATGTGAGGGGTTGTCCTGGCTATGATAATGCTAAATCCCAAAGTGCACCGCAAGAGCTTCTGTGAGATAATATAGACTCTAAAGAGTCAGCCCAATGACAAAATTAGAGTGGCTGGCTGGCAGATGAAGTGAGACAATGAAGATGGAGTAAGTGTTGTCAGGACCTCCAGCAGTTCCATTTGGAAAATCATTAAAATTGTTTCACACAACTTCTAACCTAAACAGTGAGTGGTATATGATTATGATATGCAAGTTAATAGTTTTACATCAAATAATTGAATTATTTTACCATTACTACTGTTATATTTGCAATGACTCTTACTATGGTGGCCATTACTATTATGCCAATATTGGGCTAGTGGTATGAGTTTCTGGTATCACAATACACCTATTGTTTCATGGAGTACCTCCCCACTCTCAGGACACATTTTTCACTTGCTATACCCAGATGTGCTCCTTTTACTCTCTCTTCCAGGAATGCCTTCTGTCACTCCTTTAATGAAAACTACATCCATTTGTTACATAACTAAAGCTTTAAAATAGGTATCATCTTTGACACAGCAATTCCTCTTTGTGGAATTTGTTCTGAGGAAAGATGAAGATCTTCATAAAGATACGCACACGCAAATACAAGAACAAATATTGTATTAATTACTAGGTTGTAGAATTGTTGAGAGTCAGCATTTAGGTACCATTTTATCAAACAAAATAATACAGTATGATATTACCACTAGAATGATATTGTGGTGAATTGTTATTGTGGAAATATATTTATTTGCAAAAAGGAAGATCTATACACTTTATTGATCAGAAACATCTGAGAATGTAGAGGATTTAATTTTTTTCTTTGTGAGAAAGTTTTGGTAGATTACATTTTTTTTCTAGGAATTTAAATATTTCTCCAAAGTGTCCAAACTTATTAGCATGAATTCACCCACCATATCATTGTGCTGTCATCTAAGTCTGTAGTATCTATAGTTACCTTTTTTTATTCGTAATTGTTTATTTGTGCCTTCTCTCTTAGAGATTTCTCATTAAAG